AGAGCCACTCTCGGGACTCCTGTCCGACGCACCGATGGTGTCTACCAACTCGGACATTCTAATGTCTAGCACGTTGACCGTCTCGGTCCAGTGCTATCACCAATAGCGCTTTTGTCTCCTAGCAGGGTGGGTTCATGACTCGCCAAAGCTCCACCAGGAGACGTGCGCGTAGCGCCCAAGGTGTTTGACTTCTAATCAATCCATGGCTCATGGTATTCCAACCATGCCATTCCTAGGATGAGGTCATACCTTGCATCCAAGTCTAAGACTAGACAGCGTTTCACGCTATCAAAATCAAGGAACTTGACTCCGAGGTCCACAGGGGCCTTCGGGACCGTGACATGCGTCCCCGTCGCTAGGCGAACAGAGACGATGTCACCCAACCGCGCCTTCAGCGCCTCAGCATAGCTGACTCCCCTCCATCGTGGAGCGTCCAGCATAATTGCTCGACGCCCCATAATCGATAAAAATCTTCCATAGCTTCTCGAAGCCCTTTACGGTTGCCTCCACGACCAACAATCCCGGCTTGCACACACGTTCCGTGTTTAAGAGCACGGAGCTCTTCGGGCTAGGTATTGTTCACCTATACCTCCCTGGGCTCAACAGAACTCAGTTCTTCCCCAGTAGGTCGCCCCGCGCCTACTAAGTTGTGTCGTTTCTTCGCGTCAAACCAGACTGGTTCGAATTGGGGCGATGGTTCGAAGAACCTTGACGCGCCTTGCACAGGGGATAACCGTTCCGAAGGTGACGGGTGTCTCCACAGACAAAATTTTGTCGTGTGTTTGCGTGCTGCCCAGCAGCACGGAGCTCTGCCTTCTCGTCCTCAGCATAGCTGAGATTCATGGGCAAAGGCCCGCTCGACGAGCTGTTAAAGTGTGCATTCCAACCAAGTCGTGCCGACTTGAAATTGAAGTCTGCATTTGATGCCACATTTGCCGCCTCTTCATTCAAAGACGGATACACACGGAAGACTTCCATTCTGGCCACGCCGGTGCGGAGGCCTTCCATAAAGACGGTCACTGTGACCGCCTCCGGAAGGGGATCGGCTGCCATCCGGCAATGAGAGGGCGCATCTCTTGGACAAAGTTCACCAATTCCTTGTTGCCCTGTCGGGCGGCAAGGAGGCGCGATCGTACGCGATATGCCTGATTAGGCGGCGAGAACACTCGTGAGAGCTGCAATCTTAGCTCCGCCCGGGAGGGAAACGCAGCTTCGACCGAAGTGCCGCACGTCAGTGCACATTCTCGCGCTCGAACACCGAGATTTGAGATGGCTAGCGCAACGCGCTGTTGCTCGGTCTGGAGCATGGCGGAGGCGATGGCCATCTCGACCTCTCTCACCCAGAGCATGAGATTATCTCCATCCTCCCCCTCAAATACCTTAACGCTCACCATGAGCGGCTCTAAGCGGGGAAAATCATCCATCACCGACGGTTGCGACATAGACACGAATGATACAGACATCTTCTGCTACAGTTGCTCTAGCAGCGCGTTTTCGTAATTTGAAAACGCCTCTTGACACGCACCGATTGCTTCAGGGCCTTGCGCCACAAGGTGTTGCACGCCCTCAGGTCCAAGCAAGGATATCAGCTTGTTAAGCCCGTCCTGCATGCCCTGAGGCAAAGAGGAAATTATTTTCATCGTCACAGAAGATCAGTTTAAACAACGTAGGTGTAGATTGACTACAAGTGCTACCAAGTGCAGCGGGTCTGCCGTACCTTAGCGTTTTGAGGAAGCGAAATTTAGAACACCGACCTTTCGTTCTTTACAAGAACCAGTACGAGTGTAGCGGATCGCAATTCGCTACCTCCAAAAATAGTTAGTACCTTAACCAAGGCTTATAAACTCTTCGATTTATATCAAAACTGTTTTTTATTTAATTATATCTGCGGCTTAACCGCCTTATTTTTAAATGTATAGATTTAACTAAATATACAAAGTAAAATCTAGAAACATGCATATCTACTGACTACCCTAGCCACAGACCGTATTCTTGTTTGGATGCAGTCACAACATGCACATCTCGTGTGACACACACCCCTGTTACCAGGGTACATGAAACCCCGTTACACAGTTCATCCCTACCTTGAGCTATTTAGTACTCCGCGTGGGTTAGTGGGTGCCCAGATACATGCTTACACTACACGACTGTCCCTCGGGATTTAAGGAAGCCTAGACGTGCCGTGTCTAGTTCATTTGTGGTAGAGTTCGAATAATTAACACCGTGGTAAAGTGAATTGATCTAGTCACAGACACGGAATCAGACTTTTGGATTTTCAAGAAGCATCGGAGGGTCCCACGCAACGCGTTAAGTACTATTAAATTGTTTTAGATGACTTAGAGACTGAAATGTATATTGTCAGATATGAAACCTAACGTACCACTGAGCAGTGTGACTGGAATGAAATCCTTTCCTCTTTCCAAAGATGTTGTAAGTTGCCCTCTTTGCTTTTTTAGCGCATTATCTTCGAGTTAAGAATTTATATGTGTCCAACCACGCAGTTAATATAGAAAATCTAGTGTTGCAATGTGTGAGTCGAGTAGTCCACGTTAAACAACAGTCTGATATCTAATCTACTACTACTTCTACTTCTACTACTCGATAACGGTACCCTACCACTGTATTAGCCCAAGACCCGTTGAGCTTCGCTCTGAGGCCGAATAACAATAATTCTTCGAGCAATTAATCAATGGTGCTACTGAGTTCATCGCTTCCGTACACAAATCAGTTAAATCATTTTGTAGCAAAGAACATGTCCGGCTTTCTTCAAGATAGTCCTGTTCTTGCACTTTGCAGCCCTATTCTGCTGAGGGTTATATGGAACGGAACCTAGATGAAACGATGTCACTCCGACGACTTATGTCCACCATCGTTTTATTCACGGATTCTCTTCTGCTGTCGGATATCAAGCATTCGAGACAAACACATCATTGACATCCGTCAAGAGTCTCGGAGTTCTTGAACTTGCCAAGTACCTCACTCTTGCTTTTGATTAGGGAAATAGTGAAGTACATTGCGAAATTATGCATAATAGTAAGGGTATACTTTGCACCCCCCCCACGATGAAATATGCACTGGACCCATGATATCCACTTGGACACGCTCAAGATCACGTCTCGTCTTCGTTACCGAACGTGAGGGAAATGCCGCGACTGCCTACAAGGCCTACAAACTCCAGGGACACAATTGATTTGTTTGATCATCGGGATGCCATGGGCTGGCTCTGTATCTTGAGAAACCATCCTTATTTGGACGTCTAGCGCCGCGTCATCAGTGAATTTCTATTTCCGGCCGAGCAGTTCCGCTTCATGTGACCAGGGTAATCACAATTGAAACACATGGTCTTAAATCCTAAGTTATTGCATGGGTGCTTTTTCAGACTGTGTTCATCCACCTTTAAATCTCAGCATTTACGCAGAACTCCTTCTTTATATTCTCCTGTCTGTACAGCTTCTCTGATTCCTGCATCAGCTTCTCATTGAGTTTGATCAATGTGATGTCCTTTACATTTTCCGACATCAATGAGATAGAGTCATATTCCGACGTCAGATTGCTGAGGGGATGACCCACTAGTGCGACGTCAGCTAGTTCCCCCATTGTCTGACAGTCTCCAGACAATGGGAGAATCCGCTGACGTCAAAAGAGTCCAAATGTCTCGCCATACGAGAAACCCCTTTCAGCTTGATGTCGTGAAGTTGACGCATTCTTGTCACGTGGTTGTGCAGCTTCGGCGGCTGCAAAAATCACGTAGCGCTCCTCACGCCTTTATGGTATTCGCGACCGACCATATCTTGGTCTGATGTTGAACCTCAGTGCCTTGCGCAGTTACACTCAAACCCTTGGCGTCGTTCGAAAGCCACATTTCCGTGATATCGTTCTCATTCTTGACAGTCATGATATGCCCTATAGGACAGCTCTTGCTAGATTCATCCTCATATTGAACTCGTAGTGGTACTAGCTATCAGCATCCTGGATGACCTTGTCGTGCTATTTTGCCATCATTGACCCGAACATTGTAGTATTATTTGCGGCCGCAAGCCTATCATTGCAGGAAAAACCAAAAGTAAAGGAGTTGATTACATTTCTATGTACCGAATAACTCTGCCATAATGATGGTCTATATAAACCATACATTGGACGAGAGGGCATAGATACCAGGAACCTCCAAGGAGCCTTAATCACCGAATAATTAAACTTTGTCCTTCGAAGAATTTGAACCCTAATCATGAGAGTGAAGCTATCACGCCTTCTAATCTCGGACTTACTGACTCCAGCCTCAATCTGAGTACGGATCGGCAAGAACGAAAGATCAAGTAAGATAACGAAAGGAGGCATGAGAGTGCTACAATCAATAAATACACAGCCATTCTCATTATTATACGAACAAATGTACAACTTATGCATGTATAATATACGTATCGTTAGTTAGTGAACGTGTTCTCGCGTTCATTACTCTAGGGTCAGTTTGCTAAGCCTCTTTGCTAGGGTAGTGTTCGCATACGTCGGATCTCTCTCGTCTAGGGGTATATATGCTAGGAGGGACTGAATGAGTCTCTTCCACTCCTTCCGGTCTTGCGCGTGGCAGCGCAAAAGATAAAGATCAGCGGGTCTTCGGAGTCGGTAATCGTCAGGTAGAGTTCTAAGATCGGCGTCAAGGACTTCGGGGAGTGTTGTACGTCGGCGACCTCGAAACTTGGGCTGGTCACTTGGTCCGAAGTAGGCTTCCATGTGGCGGTAGGCTGGTATGTCGGGTGTCTTCATGGAAAGTCGGAGAATGTCACCGAAAAGCGTCCATCGTCGTTTGAGTAGGTGGTAGCGGAGTGGCTCCGCTCCCGTCCGCGTGTATAAATCGTCGTTGGAGATAGTTTCCGGATAGCTGACGCCGATGACTTTGCGAAGTTGACGTCGATGAAAACTTTCCAGTCCGCACAGTTCTGCATAAGTTAGAGCCCAGGTGCCACAGTTGTAGAGCAGAATAGGAAGCTTATAACAAGTGTAGAGACGCAGGCGCGTGGCTTCTGATGTCTTCGACGGCCAGATCCAGATCTTCCACATTCGGTGGTGCGCTGCTGTAGCAAGGTTCTTGCGTCTTGAGAGATCTTCTGCATCCCCTAGCAGCGAGCCAAGCTTGCGAGTGTTGCGCCAGGATTCTTCTTTTGCACGTTCGGTGCGATTCGGTGTTGCGTGGAGGCATCTGTTCACGATAGTGTGCTAAGTCTTCGACGTGTTCATCACGAGGGACCAGCGAGCTAGGATGGCTGGGGCTTCTGCTTGAATTTTGTCGACGGTAGCGGTGTCACGGCAGACAAAATCGGCGTCGTCAGCGTAAACAATCATCTTTTTTAGTAGGTCCTGGGGTACATCAAGATGCGCTGCGACGTCGCGGAGAGCTGCCTCTAAATAAA